ATTTTATAAATTTACAGGATGTGTCAATCTAAATAAAAAGTTTCCACTTAAATAATATTTAAAAGAAAAAAAAGAAATCAGCTAGGAACTTATTATATAATATCTCTAAATAGTGAGAGAAAATTTATATATAATTACAGAAGAAATAATTTCTTGGTTAATGATATTTTATTGCTAGCTAATTAATAGGGTTGTTTCCAATTTGATTTGAATTCATTCTTAAGCAAAAGTCAATCAATTAAAAAAAAAAAAAAAAGCGAGGTCTGGTTTAAGAATGCAATTTTTATGTTTTTTTTTTAAAAAAAATTTGCCTATTTATTTATCGTTAAACACAACACATGTTAAGTGAAACAATAGACTAAATCATTTCAAATATTAATTTTTCTTATTATAAATTACAGTATAATATAAATTATAAATCAATAGTCAAATTAATCTTAACTTTTTTTTAAATTACAAATATATGTTTATATGGAAAAAAAAAAAGAAGACGACAACGGATACAACAGATTGTTATTTCTCTTTTTAAAAAAATTAGGTAATAAAATTATTGAAAAAACAAAATTAGTTTAAATAACTACTTACGTGTGAATATTATTTTTTAAATAAATAAATATAGAAAAAGATGAGTTTATTTTGAATTAGGTAAATTAGTAAATAGATATCTTAAATTTAAGTTTTGTTTTAATTTAGTATTTTAATTGTTTTATAATTTTAGTCATATAATTTTTAAAATATTTTGAACAAATTTATCTTTATATATATATAAAAAAGTTATTTTTTATTAAAAATTATTATTCACACTCTTTCTTTCTATTACTTTTTTCTTTTTTAATTATCTTTCTTCTTCTCTTCTTGTTATTTTCTTCTTCTCTTTACCTTCTATCCACTCTGTATAATTCAAACTTCAATAAATATATAACACACTATAATAAGTTTTTTTCAACTAGATCATGTGGTCATAGAAGAAAATAAAGAAATAAATAACAACAACAATGTTAGGGTTAAAAGAGAAAGTAGTAACAAGATTATAAAAGATGATGATCTAAGTGCAATTGATATGATAATTGTGGTAAAAATGACAGTTGCAACCACAAAAAATATACTAATGGAGACATATAATGTATAAATTGAAGTATTACGTTAACCGTTATCTCCTTTCAAAGTTTATAAATGTAAATGTAAAAAATTGTAAAACTATTTAAATTGATTGTTAAATAACCAAGGTAAAAAGTACTTTATATATCAAGTATTTTTTAAACTAGTATAAAAATTACTTTTTATATTGGTTATTTTTGAAACTGTCTAAAAAATAATTTAAATATAATTTTTTACATCAGTTATTTTTTAAACCTATATAAAATGTCACTTTCTAGATCAATTATTTTATAATTGATATAAAATCAATTCAAAATGTAACACAAATTAGGTATGACAAACACAAACTCTTATCTTACTTACATTATCAAACTTCTGTTATTATTGTTGGCGTATCATTGACAAACACTAGCTTTTTTTAAGTAAAAACAGGTAAATGATTTTATCTTGTTTCACTCTATATTTTCTTCTTTATTAACCCATTGGTATATGACATTAATGAATATTGCATAATTTTCATTTACAGACTCAATAAAAATTAAATCATAAGTAAATATTTATGGACATTGATGACGATAATTGCATATTTTTCTTTTATAAAATCAAAGAATATTAAATTTTGAGTAAATATTAACTAACATTTACTCTATTGATAACATTAGTAAACATTAACAGAATTGAAATATGTTTGCTAAATTGTTGGACAAACATCAACGAGAAAAATACTTTTTAGATTAGTTGTTTATAACTAATGTAAAAAGCGACATTTTTTACTTCGATTGTTACAATTGAAGTAAAATATCCTGACATTCTTCATAGGTTGTATCTGTATTAGTTCTTTAACTAATGTTAAATGTTGTTTTTAATTGATGTTAAAATTGATTTTGCTCTAGTGAATGAAGAGAAGAAGAAAGAGAAAAAAAGAAAAAAGGATGAAGGTTTAAAGGAGGAAGGTAAAGTTAAAGGAAAAAAGGGAGATGAACAAAAAGTTTTAATAAAGTTAATATTTTTTTTTAAAAAAAATTGGTTAAAATATTTTTTCTTAAATTAAAAGACAGCTAAAACAAGAAAAAGTTAGAGAAGTAAATAAAAAAACCTAGTAAACCAAAAATTTGGTCAAACTAGTAGAAGATAAAAAAAAATTATTTAAGTATCTATTTTTATTTTTACCTTATAAAATATGTAATATAATTAGTTTATGCTCAACAGCAACCGTATCTTATTCCACTAAGTAAAATTTACTACATGGATCATACCAACACTGTTAAAATCAATTAAAAACTAAATTTTTAGAGATCTAATTAATTAAAATATCTCTTGTAATAACTTCACTTAACGTTCTTTTGAGTCTCTGCAACTTTTTTTTATTGAATTAAGAGTCATGCAATCTACTCTTCTTACTAGTGTTTCTGAATATTTTCTCTGTATTTGACTAAATCATCTATGACGATTTCAATCATCTTGTTCAGTACATGTGTTATTTCAATATTCTCTCATATTTTGTCTTTACTTGCATATTCATTCATTAACTTTACCATTAGCATTTTTTTAACTCTCACTTTTTTTTCATGTTATTCTTTTAAGTTGAGACATTCATTCAAATTTTATTTTTTTAATTTATCTTTTATAGCTTTATATTAGTCTATACATAATAGTCAGTCTAATTTTAAACATATTATTATTAATTATAAGAAATACATTTTTAAAAGAAATTATAGTTTTCCTAAAATTATTATTATTTTATATAAAATTATTTTAATCCTTATATAAGGAATTCCTGAGGAAACATCAATCCTTTACTAAATTGATATCATTGGGCTAGTTCTGCCCTTTGGGATATTCTTCCCTTTAGTTTGTGAAAATAGTCCCGTCGACTGTTCTCATTTTTAATTTATAATTTTATAAAAATATCATTTTAATCTTTAATTTTTTTTAAGAACTTCTAATTTAGTTGTTTTTATTACCATTTTACATTAAAAGTTAAAATAAATATCATTTTATAAAATTAATTTTGAAAATTAAAATTTCACTAAAATCATAAATTAAAGCAATAAATATTTATTATTTCAAAAATTAAATGAGTATTTAATCAATTTAAACATATCCCCTCGTTTAAAACGAACGGATTGCATCCAAGTGGATCAGTGCCACATGCCGCAGGCAAATGTCATGATCACAGTGATGAGCACGGTCCACTTAAATTTGTTTTCTAACTCCAACTAGGATGATCCCACCTAACCTAACCGTAACACTTGCTAGGATTTCTTTGCTTCTAAATTTATCTTCTTTCCCTGCCACAAAAAATAAAAATAAAAAATAAAAAGGAAAAAAAATCCTTATTCTCTCTTTCTCTGTCTTGTACCCCTAACAAAATTTGAAATTCCATGTCCAACCAACCACCTAACAGTAAAACTCTATTCAAAGATGGAATGTTTCATAGGGTTTAATCACATGAGTGGGTTGACTAAACAAGAAGTATCAAATGACAGCCATCTTTCCTTACTTTATTTATTTATTGATATTTGATAAACACCAAGTCTCTTTATTTGAATTTCATCTTTGTGTTGATTAGTTTTCTAAATCCATTTTCAAATAAGGAGGATGAAATGCATGCATGCATGATGCATCACATCGCATGGGAATCTCATAAAACAAAGCTATGATTCAAGGAAAAGCAACAAAAGCAGGAATTAAGAAAGTGAAAGCATTAGTTGTGGGGATAAGGGTGCTATGAACATTGCATGCCGTGAGGGACCATAGCTTTAGGGGTGTTAAAGAAATCAAATTGGTCCTCAATTAAAATATGGGTTGGTAAATAACGTTAAGCAAAAATTTTACGTTAAGCAAAAGTGCGGCTTTTGCTGTCAATTAACTAATAAAGGGCTCCCTCAAAATCTGACATAGCCAATGAAGTATTTCCACCTTCATAACTTCCGACAACTTAAAAGAAAATTAGTTGACAATTTGAATTAGAACTGTGGCTTTTTAGCTTCGCATAATGCATTCTTTAGCGTAACAAAGTATGTGAAATTATTGCCGAGATTTATGACTGATTAGTCCATTTAGCATCATGAGCTATCTGATACATGGTGGAAGTCACTATCACATAGGTCCTGCCTTTCCCAATTTAAACCTTAAGTTATTAATATTAGGGAAAAAGAAATTCCACACGCTTTTGAGGTGTATCCATTTTGTTAAGTAAGAGATACGAATGAATGAGAGAACGAAATAAGAATAACAAAGATAGAAAGAAAATGAGAAAAATAAAATAAAATTGTTTCAATTGTTAGAGTAATTTTAATCCTATAATTCATTTTAATTCTACAATTATACAATATGAAGAATCACGATTGCTCGCACATAAATTCTAAATAAGTCAATTTTAGTGGTATAATTAATCACGATGCATTTACTTACTAGTAAAATTAATTTATGCAACTCCCTTTAATGTTGCCCTATTAGCTCTTGTGAATACAGTAGAACAAACATCAGTAATATTAAAAACAACACAGCCTGTGGGTTAAGAAAGAAGAATCACGATTGACAACTGGTCCAGATTCTATGCTGAAGAGTGCTAGAACCAATGAGGCAATAGCTACATTGGCACATCTTGATATCACAACGACTATTACATCAATCACAAATTTAGAGATTACCATTTTGGAACCTTCCCAAGCGGTTGATTGTGATATTATCTAGTTTTAGCATAAATAAGAGACAACCTGTTCAGTTACGGCCTTGTTTGGCTTGCCAGCTTAGCTGGATAAAGTTCGGATGAGAGTTGTAATTGTATCCTAAGCCATTTGCAAAAGGGATCAATGAAATTCAGCACAATTGGGTTCATCGTTGTTGTCTTGTGCCTATCAAAGAATATTTTGCGTATTGAAATGGGAAACTGGCTTCCATACCGCAAGCAAAGACAAATTGCTGAGAAGAAGTATTCATTATTACAATAATTGAACCCTAAAATAGGATAAAGAAACACCCGCATGCAAAGAAAGCATGCTGCTTAATTCTCCTGTGAAAAACTTCCCATCCCAATACACAAGCATGGTAGAAGGTTTCAGACCTAATTACAGAGAGAATGAATCATCTATATTCACTATGCAAGCATTATACAAAAATATGTATAAATAGAAAAAAAGGATGAAAAAGAGGAAAAGGGGAAGCTGTAGAACATATCCACCTGATTACAAAATCAGAGTATGCTCTGAAAACCTAAGCCAAATGAGCCACTTGATTACATATTAAGGGGCTGTTGCCTGTTTTGTCCACTGTTGTATCCATCATAAGGTTTGGTGGACTTGTTAGACTTTCTCTTCAAGACAACAATCCATGTGACCACTTCCAAAAACAAAGCAACTGCAGCCAGTGCAATAATCACCGCAATGTAAGTTGATTTCCATTTCTTATCAGGATGCAAGATGTCAAAGCCCCTGAATATGTTGATAATTCCCAGGATAATTATGGAGTATCCAACGCTGTGATGATAGATATTCCATAAATACCGATATTTGTGATCCTTCTTTGGCCTGATGAACAAAGCAAATATCTGCGAAAAAACCAGACAGAGAGGGATACAACAAATTAACAGTCTCAAATTTTATATACATCTAGATGTGTGGATTTTTCTCATTTTCTCGTTCTTTTCCCTTATTGTTTCTTGGATTACGAACTGACAAATATGTTTGGATTGAAATTGAAGAATATTAGACATGTTTTAGTACCTGTAGAGTGGCAAAACAAAAGAGGGTAATGCCAATGTTGCGATGACCACTGAATTCAATCCCCTCTGATTCGCTTCCAAGTTTCATACCAGTTCCCCAACCAGCAACCCCAATGGCATAAGCAGATAGCTGGCACCCAACATGAAGATAGAACCAAGCAGGATCTGCAGACGGAAAAACCCTCAGGTACCTTGCTATGATCACTCCAAGGGGGAAAAGCACACCCCAACTCACGGCATTTAGAACTCCATGAATCTGCATCAAAGAAAATCATAATTAACGTTCTCTCATGAAGTTAAAACAACCTAAGATCAGTCAAATAAAACTCTAAGAAGAACATGTTTGTCAGTTCCATGAATTCTACCCAACCCAATGCGAAACACAATTTAGATTTTAATCTTCCATTTTCACATCAAATTGAATCCTTCTTCTGACCCTGCTCAAACGAATCACACTATTCTTTCCCCCAAAAGATCTCAATTCATCCGCAAGTCACATCAGGTCAACAAAACAATTTCTTCAACACCCAAAATGAACCAGTCAATAAACTAACTCGCCTTTGGAATGAAAACGTAAACAAACCAGTGAAACAGGGCCAAAATGAGTTTTTTTCCCCTGAAATATTAAAAGAAAAATCTGTCTAAACCTAAACTCACATGCTTCTTCAACGAAACAAGTGAATTAAACACACACACACACAAAACATACCCGTTTTCCGAAATCACAAAAACCAATAAAAAAAAAACAGAGCAAAAAGACATATCTTTCTTCCCCGTAAAACCACGAAAACCAATAATAATAATAATAAAAAAAACAAAGCGACTTCCTAGACATAAAAACAACAAACACCCAATATCCAAAACCACGAATTTTTTTCTTTTGAAAAAAAGCTCACATTTTTCTTCTTGGTGATTGAGTCGACGGCACCCCCACCAGAGCTCTGTCCACCACCGCTATTCAAGTTAAGCGTCCCCTTGGAATTCAAATTGGCAGCACCAAAATCATGCTTATCCAATCTCCCAGCGGTGACAGAGGGTCCCACTTGCCACACATGGTTCAAACTCTCAACCTTCTCTGCCACCTTAACGGTGGCGAAAATCCTCATCACCCCACCCACCTCTTCACCCCTCATATCCCACACCTCAAACGACAGCTTCCCAGGAACAATGGCACTGTAAGACTTAAGGTCAAACGTTTTCACTGTCATTGCACCGTCGCTCTTAAACGCCACCAGCACCTGCGCCCCCACCATGCCCGAACCCGTTGGATTGATTCCCCACGACACCCATCCTCCCGGACTCGGCGGCGCCGCCACGAACGCCACCGAGAGGGTGGCGTTAGCGGCATCATGAGTCCAGTGGAGGAAGGAATTGAGTACGGGGAGGTCCACGCAGTTTGAGTAGAGCCTGTTTGTGTTGTCCGTTACCTTTTGGGTTGTGCAGGTAAGAGACGAGGCTGTGGTGGCGAAGAGAGCGAGGAGAAGGAGGAATGTGGGCATTGATGGGGAAGGCGATGGTGACGCCATTTTGGTGTTGAGGGTGATGAACAAAAAAATGAAAGAGAAGAGGGTGGAGAGAAAAAGAACTGGTTTGCACTAGTGTTTCTGTTTGCCTTTGTAGGGAAGTTGAGTTGGTGATGTTAATAATTGTGAGGTCGGAATTTGAGGGAAAGCGAAGAACTCGGAATAACAATGCATAAATACAGAGAGAAACTGAATTGATTTGTTTTTCTAGCGCGTGTTAACGCATGTTAAAAAATTAATAAATAACATTTTTATTAAAAGCTCTAATGTTGGATATTATTAATCTATTAAATTTTATAATTTTTAATATAAATTTATTATATTTAAATTTCTATTGTATCTTTTTAAATGCATATTTAAAAAGTTAAAAATTAATTACATATATCCCCTCTTTGTAGGTTTTCCTTCTCTAAAAATATAATTGAATTTAGAGTGTTTTATTGTAATTATTTTCTATTATTATTTTTGTAAAATTATTTAATAATTATTTTTTAATTAATATGCATTTGATTGAAGAGTATGTAATTTTTTTAAAGATAATATAATAAATAAAGAATGTAATACATAATTAAATGATAAATTTAGAAATCTATATATTCTATTAATTTTTTAGTAAAATCTTAAATGTCAAAAGAAGAAAAAATAGAATGAGTATAACAATTTTTATTATAAATTCAATGAATTTATATAAATCTTATTATCCAAAATGGTCATTTCTTGAAATACAGGCAAACACTAGAGTTGGAATTCTTTTTAACAATATCTTCTTGTATACGTAAATGTAATAATCAAATTGAAGATTATTTGCTTGAGCTTTGAGTTACTTCACCTAAATTAACATACATTAAATAAAATGTTGTATGATGAAGAATTTGTTTTAAAATTAAATATGGTAAGTTTATTATTACTTATCTTTACGGTTTTTGGTTTGTGTTGAACTCGACCATTTATCCAAAATTTGTAAAAGGATTTACATCAATTTTTAGTAAAAATATTCCTTGAAAAAGGTTCAAACAAATAAAAAAGAAATAAAACGAACGCTTTTAAAAAAGAATAGGATTCAACAAAATAGTATTTTGAGGTTAAGAAAGAGCAACGTTCTTAGTTGATTTCAATAATGGCATCCCCCTGGCCTGTATTCTTAAATGCCATTAATGCTCTATTTTCCTTATTCCGCCTCAATTTTCTAAATATGCTTGATGCTATAGCCACTAGTCATGGTCCAGGATCAACAGCTGGAAATAATGATAAAAGTAACAATGTTGCTTCTATGCGTGGAGTATGTCATAAGGAATTGAGGAAGATATCGATGACCATGCATTAATTCCAAGTTCTTCAAATTAGGAAACCAAATAAACTAAAGATGACGAAATTTAAAAGTAGAGCTAAGACAGTTGTTACGTTGTAGGACCTGCGTTCAATTTTGCTACTTGGGAAAATATATTCTTTACACTTTTACAGTCAAACTTCAAACAGTAAAGATGAAGAAAGTGTTTTTCAATTATTATAACTAAACCGGAATTAATTTTCATGTTTAATGATATTTTTAATACTTAAAAAAACTCTCAGACACAGACTTCTTGACTTTAATAGGCAAATTTAAAACATAAGTTAATATAAATACAAATTATTGAAATAAACAAAAAGAAACAGTAAAAACATTGTAGAACGCAAAACTAAATGCACTAGAGAAAAAAAAAGAGATTTTTTTAAAATGTAACAAATAACTTTATTTAATTGTATTATTTATAATATTTTTATTGTATATTATTTATGATTTTTTTATTGCAACTTTTAAATTTGCATGTCACTAAGTAAATTATGTATATCCTTCTTTAAAACAGCCGTATGTATGTTTGAATCATAAAAAATTAAGTTCAAATTATCATAACTTAATTTATCCAAATACATAAGTTTTTTAAAGTATAAAATTTGTAAAACTGTGATAATCTCTCTCAAAATAAAAATCGTCACAGCCTCTCACACTTACTAAAAAGTGTCGCACTATTAAGCGAAAGAAAAGAAGAGACTCAGGAGAGAATAAAAGCTCATGAGGTAGGGGTGAATGAATGTTTAGAAAATCATGTGTCAAGTCTAACTAACGAGTACGGATATATCCAACGTACGTAGCATGTCAAACAGTTTGGACTTTGGTCAACCACTTTCGTCCGCATATTGGAAGACCACAACGGAACAATTTTTCCTTCAACTACGTTAATATATCATAAGTGTTGTTGTTCTCATTGTTTAAATTGGAAAAAAAAAATTTTATTCAAAGGGATTAAAAGCTCAAAAGCCACAAACAATTTTCTTAGAATATCACTTGCTAAAAGTATCTAGACTTAGAAACAAGAGAAAAAAAAAGGAAATAACTTCTCAAAAATAGTATAAGGAGACAATTACTTAGGACTTATTTTGACAAGTTTGTCTGTACATTGATTAGTTTTTCAATAAATGTGACCAACTCTAATAAATTTTAAAGCATCTCTAATATTACAAATGAAAAACAATAGAAGATAAGATGAATTATAGATATTTAAAATAAATTCAACAGTTTTTTTTTTTTAAACACTTTCGATTTAAATGGTCTAGATATTTCTATGAGTAGCCAATTGAACATATAAATAAATACTCTAGAGTATCGTAGTAAGAGGAGAACAATAGGTAAGGTTGTTGTAAAAATCAGCAACAAACTAGCTTTGACTGTTCCATCAAGCTTCCATAAACTAAAACTCCTTGAATTTGAAAAACTGCTCCATCAATATTAAGCTTGAGCTGACTAGCAAAAGAGGGAAGCCATCTCACAAAAATTGGACTAGCCACTAAACTAGAAAGATATGTGGACCTGTTCTTACAACAATCAAAGAAATAATAAGAATCACATATAGCTTTATGAGCTAACACTATAGGCTGAATGGACTTTGTTTGGAAAATCAAATCATTCCTATCCTTTTAGAGATGCCAAACAATGACCTCCCTCCTAAAAAGACAATTCCAAATATAAAACTTACTAGAACAAGTTTTACACATATTAGAAATTAACCACTTAGAAAGGTGAAGACTGAAAAATTGCATCCACTAGTTAGAAAATACAAAATACTCCCAAACATGCGAGCATAAAAATAATCACGCAACACATGTATAACAGTTTCAAATGTTTCACCACACCTAAAATAGAGAGAAAAATTAGACATATCTCTTCTACATCTTTTGTCATTTGTTAGCAATTTACTATGGGCTAGTTTCCAAAAAAAAATAAAAATAGAAATCTTATAGAGACTTTTCCACTTTCAAACTTCTTTAAAGATAGTATGATCAGTAGAATGAATGGAGGGAGTATTAGAAATAAGTTGGTAAGTAATTTTAATAGAAAAAACATTATTATTAGTTAACTGCCAAAAAATAGTATCCATGTCACTAGATAAAATAAGAGGATTAACTTGAGAAATTAGATTACATATGGACCTAGGAAGTATGAATTTGATTTTTCCCTAGTCCTACCTTCCCTCAATAGAATAAAAGGATGTAGGAAAATCCAATTCCTCAGCTGAAACAGTGGAGATGAAGTAGGTAGTCAAGTTTGTTATACTAGGTATCGATTTATCTATCCAAAATCTTATGGGCAAGCCATTTTCAATATCCTAGCTCAACCCTCTAGAAATCAGTCAAACATAATATAGACTATTTCAAAGATAAGAATCCCTTTGGGCATTTCTAACACCTAGATCTTGCCCAAGGTTGAACCTATACTTCTGTCTAAGGACCTGAACACAGAGGTTACTAGGAGAAATGATTAATTTCCAACATAATTTTATGAGATAGGCTTTGTTTAATAAGTGGATATCCTTAAAGCCTAAGCCCCCTTAGTGTTAGTCTTACAAATTTTCTGTCACCCTATAAGATGACATTTTCTACCTCCTTTCAATCATCAAATAAACTATTTGCATAAGTTATTTATCTCATTACATATAGAAGTAGGGATTATGAGAGTTTGCATTACATAAGGCAACCCTACCTGTAATAGACAAATAGTTCATCTTCTAAAGAGAAAGTTGTTTCCTAATTTAGTTTCAATAAGGAAGGAAAATATTTCCTTCCTAACAAGCTTAGTATTATTGATTGGAATACCCAAATAATTACTAAAGTTGTTAGAAGAAAGAATATTCAGATAACCACTAATAGCTTGAACTAAAGAGTGGTCAGAATTTTTAGAGAAATCATATATGACTTATTAGTATTAATTTTAAGACCAGAACAAGAACAAAATTCATGCAGAACCGTACTAATAATTTCAACCTGCTAAAATCTTCTTTGGCAATCATTAATATATCGTTTACAAAAAAAGAGATGGAAAATTTTTGGTCCTTGGGAGTCAAAAGAAAAAGACACCCAATTATTATTTCAAATTCTATCTTTTATCAGGTGAAGTAATCTTGCAATACATATGACAAAAATATAAGGAAAAAGAGGACCTCTTTGACGGATACCTCTAGAGGGCTTAAAAGGAACAGAAGGATCCTTATTCCAATTTAAAGACATAGAAGATGAAGAAATACAATGATAGATAATATTAACAAAGTCAAAATTTAGCCCAATTATTTGAAAGGTATCATAAATAAAATTCCACATAAGTCTATCATAAGCTTTCTTAAGGTCAAGCTTAATAATCATATAATTATTCTTATTTCATTTTAGAAAATGAGTGCATAACTTCTTGGAGACCTAGATAGCAAAATTTAGCTTAATTATTTGAAACGTATCATAAATAAAATTCCACATAAGCCTATCATAAGCTTAATAATCATATAATTATTCTTGTCTTTCATTTTAGAAAATGAGTGCATAACTTCTTGGAGAACTAGATAGTTATCAATACCTTGCCTTCCTCAGACAAAACTAGTTTGATTTTCAAAATTTAAATAGGGAAGAGAATCCTTTAATCTAGTAGCTAGAATCTTTGCAACAATCTTATAACTTACATTGTGTAAAGAGATGTGTCTAAAATTTTGAATAAATTCTGGATTACTAGTATTAGATATAAGAGTTATACCAGTATTGTTGACAGCATAATTTTTACTAGGATTATTAAAAACTGCTAAAACAAAATTATAAATAAAAGGAACCAAAAAATGCCATTAATTTTTAAAAAATGGAGTATAAAGACCATTTGACTT